CATACTGATATACACCTGAACATCAGCAGGAGAGGACTCTTTAAAGTAGAGGACACTACATACTGATATACACCTGAACATCAGCAGGAGAGGACTCTTTAAAGTAGAGACACTACATACTGATATACACCTGAACATCAGCAGGAGAGGACTCTTTAAAGTAGAGACACTACATACTGATATACACCTGAACATCAGCAGGAGAGGACTCTTTAAAGTAGAGACACTACATACTGATATACACCTGAACATCCAGCAGGAGAGGACTCTTTAAAGTAGAGACACTACATACTGATATACACCTGAACATCCAGCAGGAGAGGACTCTTTAAAGTAGAGACACTACATACTGATATACACCTGAACATCAGCAGGAGAGGACTCTTTAAAGTAGAGACACTACATACTGATATACACCTGAACATCCAGCAGGAGAGGACTCTTTAAAGTAGAGACACTACATACTGATATACACCTGAACATCAGCAGGAGAGGGACTCTTTAAAGTAGAGACACTACATACTGATATACACCTGAACATCAGCAGGAGAGGACTCTTTAAAGTAGAGACACTACATACTGATATACACCTGAACATCAGCAGGAGAGGACTCTTTAAAGTAGAGACACTACATACTGATATACACCTGAACATCAGCAGGAGAGGACTCTTTAAAGTAGAGACACTACATACTGATATACACCTGAACATCAGCAGGAGAGGACTCTTTAAAGTAGAGACACTACATACTGATATACACCTGAACATCAGCAGGAGAGGACTCTTTAAAGTAGAGACACTACATACTGATATACACCTGAACATCAGCAGGAGAGGACTCTTTAAAGTAGAGACACTACATACTGATATACACCTGAACATCAGCAGGAGAGGACTCTTTAAAGTAGAGACACTACATACTGATATACACCTGAACATCAGCAGGAGAGGACTCTTTAAAGTAGAGACACTACATACTGATATACACCTGAACATCAGCAGGAGAGGACTCTTTAAAGTAGAGACACTACATACTGATATACACCTGAACATCAGCAGGAGAGGACTCTTTAAAGTAGAGACACTACATACTGATATACACCTGAACATCAGCAGGAGAGGACTCTTTAAAGTAGAGACACTACATACTGATATACACCTGAACATCAGCAGGAGAGGACTCTTTAAAGTAGAGACACTACATACTGATATACACCTGAACATCAGCAGGAGAGGACTCTTTAAAGTAGAGACACTACATACTGATATACACCTGAACATCAGCAGGAGAGGACTCTTTAAAGTAGAGACACTACATACTGATATACACCTGAACATCAGCAGGAGAGGACTCTTTTAAAGTAGAGACACTACATACTGATATACACCTGAACATCAGCAGGAGAGGACTCTTTAAAGTAGAGACACTACATACTGATATACACCTGAACATCAGCAGGAGAGGACTCTTTAAAGTAGAGACACTACATACTGATATACACCTGAACATCAGCAGGAGAGGACTCTTTAAAGTAGAGACACTACATACTGATATACACCTGAACATCAGCAGGAGAGGACTCTTTAAAGTAGAGACACTACATACTGATATACACCTGAACATCAGCAGGAGAGGACTCTTTAAAGTAGAGACACTACATACTGATATACACCTGAACATCAGCAGGAGAGGACTCTTTAAAGTAGAGACACTACATACTGATATACACCTGAACATCAGCAGGAGAGGACTCTTTAAAGTAGAGACACTACATACTGATATACACCTGAACATCAGCAGGAGAGGACTCTTTAAAGTAGAGACACTACATACTGATATACACCTGAACATCAGCAGGAGAGGACTCTTTAAAGTAGAGACACTACATACTGATATACACCTGAACATCAGCAGGAGAGGACTCTTTAAAGTAGAGACACTACATACTGATATACACCTGAACATCAGCAGGAGAGGACTCTTTAAAGTAGAGACACTACATACTGATATACACCTGAACATCAGCAGGAGAGGACTCTTTAAAGTAGAGACACTACATACTGATATACACCTGAACATCAGCAGGAGAGGACTCTTTAAAGTAGAGACACTACATACTGATATACACCTGAACATCAGCAGGAGAGGACTCTTTAAAGTAGAGACACTACATACTGATATACACCTGAACATCAGCAGGAGAGGACTCTTTAAAGTAGAGACACTACATACTGATATACACCTGAACACTCAGCAGGAGAGGACTCTTTAAAGTAGAGACACTACATACTGATATACACCTGAACATCAGCTGGAGAGGACTCTTTAAAGTAGAGACACTACATGCTGATATACACCTGAACATCAGCAGGAGAGGACTCTTTAAAGTAGAGACACTACATACTGATATACACCTGAACATCAGCAGGAGAGGACTCTTTAAAGTAGAGACACTACATACTGATATACACCTGAACATCAGCAGGAGAGGACTCTTTAAAGTAGAGACACTACATACTGATATACACCTGAACATCAGCAGGAGAGGACTCTTTAAAGTAGAGACACTACATACTGATATACACCTGAACATCAGCAGGAGAGGACTCTTTAAAGTAGAGACACTACATACTGATATACACCTGAACATCAGCAGGAGAGGACTCTTTAAGTAGAGACACTACATACTGATATACACCTGAACATCAGCAGGAGAGGACTCTTTAAAGTAGAGACACTACATACTGATATACACCTGAACATCAGCAGGAGAGGACTCTTTAAAGTAGAGACACTACATACTGATATACACCTGAACATCAGCAGGAGAGGACTCTTTAAAGTAGAGACACTACATACTGATATACACCTGAACATCAGCAGGAGAGGACTCTTTAAAGTAGAGACACTACATACTGATATACACCTGAACATCAGCAGGAGAGGACTCTTTAAAGTAGAGACACTACATACTGATATACACCTGAACATCAGCAGGAGAGGACTCTTTAAAGTAGAGACACTACATACTGATATACACCTGAACATCAGCAGGAGAGGACTCTTTAAAGTAGAGACACTACATACTGATATACACCTGAACATCAGCAGGAGAGGACTCTTTAAAGTAGAGACACTACATACTGATATACACCTGAACATCAGCAGGAGAGGACTCTTTAAAGTAGAGACACTACATACTGATATACACCTGAACATCAGCAGGAGAGGACTCTTTAAAGTAGAGACACTACATACTGATATACACCTGAACATCAGCAGGAGAGGACTCTTTAAAGTAGAGACACTACATACTGATATACACCTGAACATCAGCAGGAGAGGACTCTTTAAAGTAGAGACACTACATACTGATATACACCTGAACATCAGCAGGAGAGGACTCTTTAAAGTAGAGACACTACATACTGATATACACCTGAACATCAGCAGGAGAGGACTCTTTAAAGTAGAGACACTACATACTGATATACACCTGAACATCAGCAGGAGAGGACTCTTTAAAGTAGAGACACTACATACTGATATACACCTGAACATCAGCAGGAGAGGACTCTTTAAAGTAGAGACACTACATACTGATATACACCTGAACACCAGCAGGAGAGGACTCTTTAAAGTAGAGACACTACATACTGATATACACCTGAACATCAGCAGGAGAGGACTCTTTAAAGTAGAGACACTACATACTGATATACACCTGAACATCAGCAGGAGAGGACTCTTTAAAGTAGAGACACTACATACTGATATACACCTGAACACCAGCAGGAGAGGACTCTTTAAAGTAGAGACACTACATACTGATATACACCTGAACATCAGCAGGAGAGGACTCTTTAAAGTAGAGACACTACATACTGATATACACCTGAACATCAGCAGGAGAGGACTCTTTAAAGTAGAGACACTACATACTGATATACACCTGAACATCAGCAGGAGAGGACTCTTTAAAGTAGAGACACTACATACTGATATACACCTGAACACCAGCAGGAGAGGACTCTTTAAAGTAGAGACACTACATACTGATATACACCTGAACATCAGCAGGAGAGGACTCTTTAAAGTAGAGACACTACATACTGATATACACCTGAACATCAGCAGGAGAGGACTCTTTAAAGTAGAGACACTACATACTGATATACACCTGAACACCAGCAGGAGAGGACTCTTTAAAGTAGAGACACTACATACTGATATACACCTGAACATCAGCAGGAGAGGACTCTTTAAAGTAGAGACACTACATACTGATATACACCTGAACATCAGCAGGAGAGGACTCTTTAAAGTAGAGACACTACATACTGATATACACCTGAACACCAGCAGGAGAGGACTCTTTAAAGTAGAGACACTACATACTGATATACACCTGAACATCAGCAGGAGAGGACTCTTTAAAGTAGAGACACTACATACTGATATACACCTGAACATCAGCAGGAGAGGACTCTTTAAAGTAGAGACACTACATACTGATATACACCTGAACATCAGCAGGAGAGGACTCTTTAAAGTAGAGACACTACATACTGATATACACCTGAACACCAGCAGGAGAGGACTCTTTAAAGTAGAGACACTACATACTGATATACACCTGAACATCAGCAGGAGAGGACTCTTTAAAGTAGAGACACTACATACTGATATACACCTGAACATCAGCAGGAGAGGACTCTTTAAAGTAGAGACACTACATACTGATATACACCTGAACATCAGCAGGAGAGGACTCTTTAAAGTAGAGACACTACATACTGATATACACCTGAACATCAGCAGGAGAGGACTCTTTAAAGTAGAGACACTACATACTGATATACACCTGAACATCAGCAGGAGAGGACTCTCCTGAAACACAGCGCTCTCCTGAAGAACTTTACCTCAGAGAAACAACAGTCTGATCCGTTGCCTTTAGAGATGAACACCTGAGTCTGATGGTTGTGTGTTTCTCTTCAGGCGGCGTGGCTAACGGACCCCGAGGCCCCACCAGTTATTACTACATGCTGCCCATGAAGGTCCGAGTGCAGGGACTCAAAGTGGCTCTGAGCTCCAAGATGGCTCAGGTGAGGAAAATGTGTTCAACAGTATTGTGACATTTATTATTGAATTATAATGGCATACTATGCTGTGAAATGTTCTATACCAACACGTTCTTGTTTTGAATTTGTTTTCTGAATGATTGGTTTTCAACTTTTTGTTCTGTGCATTTCCAATATAATCATTTTCCAAATTACAGATGAACTGAAAGCACAGTAATTACATGCTGATGTTATTTAAAGCACTGTTTTTTAGATTGAATAAACACAAATAATGACTGATGATAAAATGTCAAAAAATATAATTTGTGTTTTTCTGAAAAAATAGTATAGTATGTCAATAAAAACATGTCATTTCCATAGATATGTTTTTTAAAACTACTTTTTATAATAATAATTGTTATCCATCAACCTGCAGATCCTTAAAAATGTAAGTATTGTTTGCAAGAGATGACAAAATACAACAAAACAGATGATTATTGTTTCTAATATTTTCAGCTTTTGTCTTTGCAGCGTTGCCCTCATGTTGAACTTGTGTATATCTATGTTTGCAGGACTACCTGTACGTGGTGGACTCTCTGGACCTCCCCTCCCCCGACCCTCAGTACCTGCTGGACCTCATCAAACACAAACACTGGGGGGAGTCCGTGTTGATCGTAGATGTGTGAGTATCTCCATCTTTAAAACAGTTATTTGAGTGGTCGTGCATCGCTGACCCTCCGGTTCTCTTTCAGAGGTGAAGAGTTCTCCGAGAACATCCTCCAGGCGACAGCTAACCTGAAGACCGTGAACATTATTCCTGCTATGGGTAAGTTATCACGCAGCATTATTAAAAAGGCGATACAACTCACTTTTATAGCCGTCAAGCTTTCTTGCATGGAGCTGAAGTCTGAGAGTAGTTGCTGGACGTTTGATCTGAAGACATATCAGCCAATAGATGCCAGAAAGCATATGGATGTCTGTGTGATGCCCACCGACTGTTGGCTTTGAAAACAAGACTTCAACAAGGAAACATTTGCTTTGAAAGAAGTTCCACTTAAAAGTAAACGGTCATTATAAAAGATTCAAATAAGCTTTCCTACATCTGTGGCATTGGATGTATTCATATGTAATAGTCTCTACTAGTAGTCGAGTAAAAATGATGCTTGTGAGTGTTGGCAGCTCATCCCTTAAAACAGAAGCCTCAGATTATAAGAAGGACAAATATGAAGGGTTTATTTCAAGCTTGTAAATAAGTCATTGGGCTTTTTTCTTATCAACTAAGATAAAAAATGTTTCCAACTTGAATTGACTGACTATATTTGAAAAGTGGGCTCTTATTCACACATGAATACTACTGTGTAATATATTTCTACGATTATATTTAAGAAGTACAATACAAGCACAAGTTTCATTTCCATATTCCATTATACTTTTAGAATTTGCTAAGGGCCGATTCAAAATGGTCCGTCGGCCGCATTTGGTCCCCGGGCCGTAGTTTGGACACCCCTGCTGTAAACAACTAAACCAGCAGGTGTTTTGTGTTCCTCAGGTCTGAACGTGCACAGCATGCTGAAGCACGAAGCCCTCGTCCTGACTCTGAACACCGTCAGGTTCCTGGAGGAGAAGCTGCTCTGGCACGACGAGCGCTTCACGTCCCTGTACCCGTTCGCCCTGCCGTACTCTGACCTCCCATGAGACCCCACATCAACAGATTCATGTTTTCTTCATGTGTTTATTATGTCACACAAAAACAATAAATAATGCCAATTGTAATAAAAAAAGTTGTATTGAAAAAGCATCAGGCGTTTCATCTGTAGCTGAATCTGTGAGGAAGAAGCCCGTTGGCTAAATCGCTTCTGATCTCCCATCGCAGAGCCGAGCGCTTCTTCTCCGTCGGCACCACGTAGGAGTTCGGAACAAAAACCCTCCGAGGTTTAGGCTGCAACACAACAACAAGTTTAGTTTTACATTCATGGGGATCCATTCTGAAATATTCCAGTCCAGGGAAGACAATCGATCTAAACTGATCTATGTATATCTAGTGTATTTGATTTGAGGTTCGATAAAGCTGATCACAGTATATAACACGTATTGCTGTAGTTACATACAGTAGGCTACATTTGAAATGTTTTCATTGCCACATAGCAACATTCAACAACAAATGTCCTACATCACATGTGTCAAACTCGAGGCCCGGGGGCCAAATCAGGCCCGTGGTGGATTTAATTTCGGCCCGCAGGATAATTTCTAATTCCTATTAGATCTGGCCCTCCAGTATATTGCACGCACACTTCCCTCCATCCTGAGGGTCTCCTCAGCTCAGAGCCTGACCCCAAACATTGATGACCTTGCACCCAAGATGAGATGCCAAGTATCTGAACTAGCATCACAGAGCAGCACACTGAGTTTAATGGATGCTTCCTTGTGCACTTTCTCTCTCACGACAACAGGGCAGGTTTGTTTTTCTCTTTGAGGGAAATAGTTTTGTTGAAGCTGTTGTTGGCCTGTGGGAAAATGTACTCGTAAGAAATGACTCTGGAAAAGCTGCAGATAGAGCCATGAGAAATGAATGCGACTGATTATTTAATGTTGTTTTTATAGGCAATCATTTAAGCTTTGTTAGTTCCAGGTTTAATATGTGCAATAAGTTCATTTCAATAAGTTTTGCAATAAACATTGAACCAGTCCGGCCCTCCACTAGTACCCATTTCTTTTAATGTTGGCCCACTGTGTATTTCAGTTAGACCCCCCCCTGACCTACACCATATAGCAGTCAGAGACTACAGGCCAGCCTTTGACAACTCATTTTGGCTCAACTTTGTTTTCCTTGAGCAGCTTTATAGAGAATGTTTGAGGAAATACTCACCACTGGAGGTTGGTATGCAAGTTGCTCCTGAAAGCAAAACATGGGAAAGCTTCGTGAATAAACAAGTGATTTGTAGCAGGAGTGTTCAGTGTCTGGGTATTTCAATCTACAGCCGTGCATCATATTCTACATCATATGTGTGTAGCTTTGTCCTGTGAGAAGCTCTTATGTCTACAAAGTCAACAATGCGATCTCCACCTAGAGAGGGTTTTTCAAAGTGTATTTAGTTAAAGTGTGGGAACACGTTGCCCTTCAGTAAATTAACCTACACTGGAGAGGGATATCATTTTTTAAACCTGAAAAGTAATTTCATCTGTCAGATAAATGTAGTGGAGTATTAGGGCCACACTTAAAAAAGAAGAACAGAGATTTCTATAATAAAGTCGTAATAATACGAGAATAAAGTCATAGTTACGAGAATAAAGTCGTAATGTTACGAGAATAAAGTCGTAATGTTACGAGAATAAAGTCATAGTTACGAGAATAAAGTCGTAATGTTACGAGAATAAAGTCATAATTACGAGATTAAAGTCGTAGTTTCAGAAGTGACTTGAGAAGGAGACAACAGCAGCGCCCTGCAATAAAATGAGGAATGTGGATCTTGTGAAGCAGTAGCCCTACTTTAGTTTAGGTTTCTCAAATAACTAACTACTTAATCTTTGGGCACATCAGCATCAGATTATCATAAGTATTAGAACTTTGAAAAGGTTGTGCAAGAAACTATGTCTATTATTTTGAAGAAAGAACCAAACGGACTTGGAGGAGATTGTCTTCTTTCTGCAGGAGGCTGGTTCTGGCCGACTACAAGGCTATCGTTGGTTACATCTACGAGCTGTTCAAAGGGGATTTGTTGTTTCACTTGTAATCAAGGCTTTGGATCCAGGAGGAGTCGAACGATAGCCTTGTAGTGGAATCGGAATGAGCTCCCCATTGAAATCAGGACAGCAGATAGCTTACACATCTTCCGGCGCAGACTGAAAACTCATCTCTTTCGACTCCACTTCGAGCGATATAATTATTAACAAAGGACTTATATACTAACAAAGGACTTGTATACTAACAAAGGACTTGTATACTAACAAAGCACTTGTATACTAACAAAGCACTTGTATACTAACAAAGCACTTGTATACTAACAAAGCACTTGTATACTAACAAAGCACTTGTATACTAACAAAGCACTTGTATACTAACAAAGCACTTGTATACTAACAAAGCACTTGTATACTAACAAAGCACTTGTATACTAACAAAGCACTTGTATACTAACAAAGCACTTGTATACTAACAAAGCACTTGTATACTAACAAAGCACTTGTATACTAACAAAGCACTTGTATACTAACAAAGCACTTGTATACTAACAAAGCACTTGTATACTAACAAAGCACTTGTATACTAACAAAGGACTTATATACTAACAAAGGACTTATATACTAACAAAGCACTTATATACTAACAAAGCACTTATATACTAACAAAGCACTTATATACTAACAAAGGACTTATATACTAACAAAGCACTTATATACTAACAAAGCACTTATATACTAACAAAGCACTTATATACTAACAAAGGACTTATATACTAACAAAGGACTTATATACTAACAAAGCACTTATATACTAACAAAGCACTTATATACTAACAAAGCACTTATATACTAACAAAGGACTTATATACTAACAAAGGACTTATATACTAACAAAGGACTTATATACTAACAAAGCACTTAATACTAACAAAGCACTTATATACTACAAAGCACTTATATACTAACAAAGGACTTATATACTAACAAGCACTTATATACTAACAAAGCACTTATATACTAACAAAGCACTTATATACTAACAAAGGACTTATATACTAACAAAGGACTTATATACTAACAAAGCACTTATATACTAACAAAGCACTTATATACTAACAAAGCACTTATATACTAACAAAGCACTTATATACTAACAAAGGACTTATATACTAACAAAGCACTTATATACTAACAAAGGACTTATATACTAACAGAGCACTTATATACTAACAAAGGACTGGCTTATCTAAAGCCAGTTGAGTAGCACTTGAAATGTTTGGCTCTATGAAACCTGATGTACTTATATGATTCTGTTTTCTTCAAGTTTGGATCTTCCTGGTCGAACGCACTTATTGTAAGTCGCTGTGGATAAAAGCGTCGGCTAAATGCAATGTAATGTAATGTAGTCGGCCAGAACCAGCCATCTCCTCCAAGTCCGCTTCTCAAGTCACTTGTGAAACTACGACTTTATTCTCGTATTATTACGACTTTATTCTCTTTTCTTCTAAGTGTGGCCCTAATACTCCGCCGTAGAGTATAAAGTACAATATGTATACAATATATGAAGTGGAGTAGAACAAGGATTAAGTTACATACAATGGAAATAATCAAGTACAAGTGGAATTAGTACTATAAAGATATTATTAATAAACTTCACTGTGGCTCCTTGTGTAACAATTACTAGACAGCCAACAGTTCTAACAAATAAAACATGTAAAAACTTGACCAAGAAAAACAGAAAGGAAATATTTGAGTTTGGAAAAGTATGTATTTGTTAAAGGACACTGAAAGTAAATATTTGGTAACTTTCTGAGATATTCTTCATACCTTTATCTCCATGCGGATGGCTCTCCTGTCGCTCTCTCCTGGAAGCTTGAACATTTCCCAGAGCTGCTTATACTGGAAGTACCTGCAGAGGAGAGAGTCAGTGAGTCAACTATGAGACCAACATGAGTCCAACAGCCATAGAGCATGCCTTAGTATCTCGTGGATGAGTTAAGTATCTTGTGTAATCCCTTTAGTATCTCGTGGATGAGTTAAGTATCTTGTGTAATCCCTTTAGTATCTCGTGGATGAGTTAAGTATCTTGTGTAATCCCTTTAGTATCTTGTGTAATCCCTTTAGTATCTTGTGTAATCCCTTTAGTATCTCGTGGATGTGTTAAGTATCTTGTGTAATCCCTTTAGTATCTTGTGTAATCCCTTTAGTATCTCGTGGATGTGTTAAGTATCTTGTGTAATCCCTTTAGTATCTTGTGTAATCCCTTTAGTATCTCGTGGATGTGTTAAGTATTTTGTGTAATCCCTTTAGTATCTTGTGTAATCCATAAACAAAGTAAATTGAGAATATTCTGACCGATATTGCTATTTCCAAACGGATATATGTGTATTTTATCATGTGTAAAACTCACTTGGCTACCGGGTCCGTCTTCTTTATAGTTTGCTGACTCATCACTGGTCTGATGACTGAAACATCCCAACATACGATCAATTATAAAACAGTCATTAAAACATAAATATGAATTGGTACGTTGTGTTTCTGTCGGCTTACAGGATTTGGGTTTGGGTCTGAGGTCACCGTCACTTTTAGCCCGAGTCTGCGCAAAAACAAACCACAATAAAGTCACATTTAGGGACAAATTAAGACGTTTTTACCAGGCCTTGTTTGCCATGTGATTCTGGGAGACTACATTACCCACCATGCCTCTGATGTAGGATTCGAAGGCACTCAGAGAGCCTTCCTCTATGTCTGAGCTCTGAGTTTCGCTCTGACCGTCTTCGTACTCCGTCTCAAAGTCTCTCTGAGCCGACGGTGATAAACGCAGATCGGCCAGACGCTCCTCCAGGAAGCTCGCTGCGTCTGAAAACAAACGGAACATTTGAATATCGTCAGCAGGATTCACTGGCTTTGTTTTGGATGTCCTTTAACCATTACATCGCCAAGGGGACGAAACAAATGTAGTTTTCTTGAGACAGAATATTGAGACAGAAACTGTACCTTCGACATTAGCTAAATGACTTTTCTATGACTTATCCTAAAGGGAAATGAGCTTAATAATTAAACTCGTCTTGATTTTAGTTAGAGTTACTCGCCTGTTAACTTTCTCGTAACATT